ACTTTCAGCGACGGATCAGCGAGGGAATTTTCCCTCGCTGATACCCAGCATTTTTGTAGTGAAAATCTAAATGAGACAACATAACAACGGTTGAAAAAGTTAAGAAGAGCACATTTTGGGTCAGATTCCTTGGCATAATTTGAGGCAACCTAAACGACCAAGAAAAGGACCACTAAGAAGTAACACCACTCTTTGAAGTACGTCGAATAACACAAAATTTATGGCGAACGCCAATTTTGGTGGTTGTCTTCGTCCACAATTAATTAAGTGAAAACCAACATGATGAAGGGCAAGACCAAACCGTCATTCAAAATAAAAGAATACACTTTAAACAAAATTATCAATATCCCGTGTATATCTAGGAGATTATCCGGCACGTCATAAAGTAGTTCCAATAGAAGCAATATTAATCTATAAAAAATGATAGAATTCAATAATAAAGATGTAGGAATATGCAATTCAAAATCACATGCTAATTCATTAATTAAGGAATAAAGTTGATTGATTTAATTGCTTCTTGTTTTATAAACATGATCATAATTCCAAGCGGCCATGTCACGGTTACCCCACATCGTTCACCCTAAAGCCTCACCAACACTGCAGCCTCATCAAGCCCCACCACCGCCACCACCACGTCAAGTGCTTATTACACCAAGATTTCGAGCCACAACAAAAAGACCTCCACCTCAACCTACCGCAATCCCACCTCTTCTTGCAGGAACTAACGTCGTTGAACCACCATCACCACCAACTGCACCACAGGGGTTAGTAGCTAAAGCTGCTGCATCACCGACCTCGTCATCTATAGTTCCAAAGGGCACACAGTCTGGAGCAGAAGCAAAGTTCCCAATCATCACGCGTGCTGCCACCCTAACATCCTCCCCTCTGAAAACTGTCAAACGTTCACCAGAAAAACTTCATTTGCATTAACTTGTTGTTTTCTGTAGGTATTATTTTGAGGAGTTAATAAAGTCAATGTTGTATTTACAACATTACGGATGAAGAAGCTTTGTAGCATAGAGATTACTAGCATGGAAGTTTAGTACCATCCACAACACTATATATATATATATATATATATATACTTTTGACGTGAGCAGAGAAATTTGCAAGGTGAAGGAGAAAAGTTAATGCATCTTTCAAATGTTTGAGTTTTGATATAAAAAAAAGGGCTAAATTTTCCCCCCGATTTAATTAATATTGAATGTCTAATTAACTAATATGTGTGCAACACATCATGTATAAAAAAAACCTCTCCATTTGAAATAGTTTTAAGTCCATTTGAATTTATACAATTCGGACACGCGTTGTTTTTATCAACGAAAATGCTTACCATTTTATGACAAATTTTAGAATTGCGATGGCCATTTTTAATAATTTATATAATGCGGTACCACTATGTGGATAACAGAACACTCACTATAATGTAGAAGAATTTCACGGGTTCTTTCCATAATCCTTCAGTGAACATGACATCGTTCAATGATCCATTGGTGAAAATAACTTTCACATACGGATCCCTTTAAGGATGTATCTCAAGTGGCTTGCTAATGTAACGAAGGACATGGGATAAATTCTATTCACCAAGATATTGCTAAACAGGGATATCACTTACGGGATTACGGAATGATGCATTCACTAGCGGATTGCGTAAGGGAGTAACACGGACAAATTGGAGAAGGGAATAACACCGAGGGGATATTGGTGGAGTTCTGAAGTCCCATTAGCAACGGATTGATGAGACCCCTTAACTATTGCTGAGGGCATATCCATAGGTGATCCATCAAAGACATTAGTTTATTTAAGAAACAATTAAAAAAATTGATATCTTTTTGAATAATTACACAACTGTACATACAATTACTATATATAAATGAGAACACATGCTTTTTGAGATATGTCAACTTTTTTCACATAATTAATTTACTTACAAAACATTATTAAAAATGGGGTGTTATCTATGGAAATTTCAGTTGGAAAAGGTCATTTTTGACAACTCTTCACGGAGAAGTCTACAGTAGAAAATGTAATGTGGGGGTTATAAAGTGAAAATGAAACATATACATACTACGTTTGCACCTACGACAACATGTGCACATCCTACGTAGCAAGCTTCTCCTGCTTTGCCATCACACTCGATGTCATCTTCATCTCGAGGCGCATCAAAGCTATAGATCCTCCGATTCTTGTTTTTTAAATCAAATAATGTATTCAATCGAAAATCCATTGGAAATGTCTTAGAATTTTCGATGAATTTTTTATTACTTTTTAGAGTTAATGGATATTTTCTAAAATGGCAAAATGCTTTTTGTCCAAAATCGATGGAAAAATTCGTAATTGTCGATGGATGATGGACATTTGAAATTAATTTAAACTTGTTTTTTAAAGGAAATAATGCAATTCATCGAAAGTTCATGAGAAGTTCATGCAAGATATAATTTCATACATCATTGGTCTTAATAAAATGCTTTATATGTAGCCTAACTTTTTATATATATGTATATGATGAAACAATAATATCTTATGCAAAAGTATTATACTATATATATATATATATATATATATATATATATATACAGTTACACAATATATATATATATCTATACTATATTATAAAACATTTGGCTAAAACTCTTAAACTCGTTCATCCCTATCCGATTTCATCCCATA